TTTGAAAACCCATTAAAATAGGTCTAAATTCGTGTCTCGAGCCGCCACTGTTTGAAGGTACTCAATGCAATTGTCAGCCAGGATGGGGGAAAGTCGGTTACCCATGAGTGCTCCCTTGACTTGCTTAAAGAAACTACCATCGAAAGAGATATAATCTGCTTCTACCATACAGAAAGTTATTAGCTTTACGACAGATTTAACAGAGGTTCGTACGTTGTCTAAGTGAGGTATCTCATTGAAGATGTTTACCTGTTATTTTAACAGTAAAACTTGTGGAAGTTTTTGCTGTAACAGGGGTCACTTCTAATTAATGGTTCAAATATTTTAGCGGTCAGCTTCTAAACCTCTGTGAAAAACAGTTCACAGCAGAAACAATAGGTCTGAAAGGAACATAAGGTCTGTTTCTATTTATTATTTTTATATATAAGCAGTAAAAGTACGGTGCCATGTGGTTACAGTTGAATCTGAGAGGTGTTTCTATGAAGGTGAAGAACTCTGAAGTTATGTGGTCATGTCAGACAATACCCTATAAAAGTGCTCGAAGTTGGTGGACAAAAAATGAGGTGAAGCTGGTATTCAGCCAGAAGAATGAAGTGTTAATCACGTCATGATATTTGTTTGTGTAATGTGACTTATCCATAACCATCATGAGGTTTCCTTTAACCGCTATTTTAATTATAATGTTACTGTCTATTTTTAAAGATTTAATGGCTTTAAATTCTGTTACGTTCAAGAAAGTATAAGTATTCCCTGTTTTACGCTATTTATTTCAGTATGACCATCAACGTTCGAACGAATTACTCTCTCTTCGGATAGAGCACTCGTAACCACTTAAATTTCAGGTGCCGGTACACTTTACACGTTTCTGCAAAACAGCAAAGTTATTGCTTCGTACGCCGGAGTACGCCAAGAAGCGCTTGAAGTACTCCTTGAAAATCAGATTTCAGGACGATGATATTTCGTGAAAGCATAAAATGAGTACTAATGACGAGCAAGGAAATGATACCGCACATGAAATAATGCGAAATGCGTCTAACGCCGCAAAGGCCAAAATATCATGGAGCTTGGTGGGTCTGAATCGGTACCTGCACATCTATGTGCAAGAAAAAGTGGTGGCAATATGCCGTGAAATTCGGTTTTGAACGAGTGAAGCGCTTAATATGATACTCCTGAACACAAAACTCATATTTTAGAAACAGCTGTCATTTATGTGTAGGTACATTTGTTCATTACTTACGTAGTTTATAAGCGGCTACAATGAATACGTGACCACGGTCGAACTCTAAGTAAGATCCGCAACGATCTGGCATCGTAGCGAGGCAAAAAACACAAAAAGTAAATCAATTCTGCTATGGTCACGAATCTGAATAGCTAGCAGTGCACAGTATCAGAGTCGGCTTCCGTTGAATAAGAGACCTAATTTTTAGACGTTGAACGAAACAGACCAAACTGAACGGAAAGGGCAAAATTCAAGAAAAGAACGCCGCAGAAGAAAAAGTAGACAAAACCCTAGTTCTAACCGGAAGTAAACTCTTCAGCAAAGCATTATGTAAGATAATGAAACTACTTATGAGCAAATACGACATAACGCAAGTATGCTGATTTTAACATAAACAAAAGCAATTTTGCACCAAAAAATTTTATGCTTGAAAAACCTTCAGAACAGAGCAAACCAGATTAGCCTAGGTTGTGAGCTACCGTTTCTCCAGATCAAGCGATCATAATCGTGACAATCAGGATTCAGAAAGGGACTCTAGCTGTGACCACATACTCTCGCTCGCGTCGCACTGTCACGCAGAAGTATCGAAATTCTATTGCGATCTATCATCTGTGAGTCCTACTTTGATTTATCTGTGCCGATTAGGTCTTGGAATAGGAGCAGTGCTACACGCCTTGAAATACTGTTTTGAAAAATCCTGGGCATATCGACATATCTCAGCGAACGAATGCTATATTTGTGATTCATGATATCCTCGCAGGCATGAAGCCAACACAGCTGTAGTTTCCTGTTTCCTTTCTAGCAAAGTGGTATTAATTTATCTACCTTAAAGGACGTAAGACGAATGACCTGACCAGGGCATGAACTCATGACCGAATCCAATACTCTCTCGACTGAGCAAACCACTTATGAACCTTACCGAGGATGCTTTAAGATCAACAGAAGATTAACGAACTCTGGTAGAAATATTGTCTA